GCTCGCATCCGGCGCGGGGAGCGGAGCGGAGCGGAGCTGAGCAGCCGCCTCCTGACCCACTCCCGCCTCCTCAGCGCCCTGCCCCGCCCGCGCATGCGCAAGCACACCGCCCTGGGTCGCCCGGCCGCGTACGGCTCCGCCCGCCGGTCCTAGCGCCGCCGGGTCCCCCCAGCCTCCCGCCCGGCAGGGACTCGCGTGTGTTTACGTGTGTGTAGTTGTGGGGGGGTATGGGGGTATACGTGTAGGTGTATAGATGTGTGTGGGTAAGCGTGTATGCGTGTACGTGCATATGTGTGTGGGTATCTGTATATGTGTGTGTGTGTGTGTGTGTGTATAGATGTGGGTATACATTTGTGCGTGTGTATACATATGTGTATATATGTTTATACATGTAGGTGTATAGATGTGTGTGTGCATGTGTATACACACCTATGTGTACACATGTGGGTATCTGTGTGGGTATACTTGTGTGTGCAGGTGTACATGTGTATGTATGTGTAATCCAAAAAGCTATAACTCCTGGTTCCAAACTGATACCTTTTATTAGACCAACTAGGAAACTGCAAAAATATCTAATTATATGTGTATGCAGATGTGTGTAAATGTGTGTGGGTATATATGTATGTGCATGTGTACGTGTGTATGTATAGCACAGTCTTTACTAAGCTGTGTGCGTGTCTTTCTCTCTCTCACCCGCCCCCCCACACACACTTTGGGAGATGCAAATCCCCCTGACTCTCAGGCAACACAGACAAGCTCAAATTAGCCACCACGGACAGTCTAACACTAGCGTATGCCTGTGGCTCACAAACTGACTGGGGGCAGCCCTCAAGGGCTCTAGCCCCCCTCCCCGCTCCAACACTGCCAGCTCTTGGCTTGCACTGAGGGTTTTTTGACGACTAAAAACCACTAGAGTAATTCTTCTGCTGCAAAGAACTCCGAAAGCCGGCAGCAGGGCAGGATGGTCGTAACCCCCTGGATTGCCGTTTGAAATCTCTGGGTTTACTTTGCGAATCACATTTGCCCCTGTACCAGTGCTAACATTGCGTGGCACACCCTGACACCCTTGAAAGGAGATCAAGGCACCTTGGCAGCCTGGCTGAGGATCCTTGGTGTAAGCCAAACACAGCTGAACATTTCCTGTGATTGCACCAAGTCCTGCATCTCAAGCTTGCAAACTTTATTCATATAGAGTTATTTCTATCACATTTAAAGGACAAGCTTCATTGCTATATTTGCAAACAGATTCTCTCTGCATGGGGAGAAGGAGCATTCTGATATAACCCCCTCTCATCCATCTACTTTCACTGCAAAACAGACTTAAAATGCTAATTCGGGGAGAAAACAGAGTTCATCTGATCCTCAGCACCCTAAAAGACACCACTCTTGGAGCTGGGTAATCATTTTTCCTGCACAAGATAACAAGGCAGGGAAGGAAAAAAATTCTACCTTTAAAGCAAATAGTGCTATTACCATATCGAGTGTCTGCAGAACCATAAACTGCCCAAAAATCAATATATCAGTGGAAACCCTCTTGAATTGCAGGAGGAATATGTGGATCTTGGATTCAATGGGAAAAACGTCCTAAAAATGTAGTAGTTGTTACCATAATCAAGAAGGCCAAGGTATCTGAAGTGATGCACCTGGATTAGACATTTTAGTTTTAAAATAAAAATATTGATAATTTTTCAAACGTCTCAAAACTTAGTCTGTGCATTAACATCCCCCGACAATAAGTTACAAAATTAGGTTTCCTTTTAAAAAAATGTTTACATCTCTTTAGAAACAATATTTTACAGAATTTGATGAAAGATTAAAAATGAAAAAGCATCGAATGAATGGTAGCCGAAAACAGACACCTCCCCAAAGTTAATTAGACCAAGATGCTTTCAAGACCCAGCAGCTGTACAGTTAAACTTGCTGCTTTAAGGTTCACCATACTGCATGACTGGTTTACCTTTTAGTGTTCTTTATTCTGTTAATACATGTTAGGGCCACACCTCATGTGGGAGTCAGCTGCTTTTGCAATCTTCTGGTAGCATTTACAGTTGCGGGAAGGAACTATTTTAATTATGTTGGTATGGCACTTTTGTACCACCATACTACTGCATTTAGTATTTGAGTAGGCGATCCCATTCTAACTTTTTATTCGGCTTAAAATATGGCATGGACAGGGATTTCTCTCCAAGAAGCTATTTACTTGAGTTTGTGACTTGCCCTTTTACACTCGCTGAGAGTTCGCAAATATTTTCCTGGGAAAGTACTTTTCATCCGGAAAGAGAAACAGAGACATTTCTTTAGCAAACGGGACTGCCAAATCCTATGTTATTTTATATAACAGATGTAGACGCTGTTTAGTATTTTTAACTGAACTCCTGTGCTAATGCAAGCACATGTACTTATCTCACAGAAGTATAGGTAATCTTTTAAAAAAGCCTGAATGTGCCAAATTGCCAAGTAGCTAACTCCCTTTAATTATCTACATTTCCCAACATCCCATGAACCTCTGCTTTAAAAGCGCACTTATAGCACCATGCCCCTGGGGCTCCACAATTGTCTGTTTTGTAGTAATTATGCTGAACATACCAAGGCACTCATGGCTGAGTTACTTCAGAGCTTGTTTTAAAGCCCTCTATTTTAAAGACCAATTTCTGGATGCCACAGAAGTTTCACTTCCAGGCACACTTCTGAGAACACTTCGGAGTGTTTGAAGCAACAAGTATAAGAGGGAACATAAAGTTCCCAAGTGACAGTCTCAAAACCCCCTAACAGTCCTCGCAAAGACCCCAGTCATGTGGCAGGAGGGGAAGTGGTAAATGACCATGATTCGTTGCTATTCCAACTCCAAGTGAAGGCAGAGCGCACCACGACTCCATTCAAAAGGCAGGGTTTCTAACTTCCCTCACTTCCACGTTTGTTTCTACAAGTAGATGTTCACGGCAGTGCTTGACACCCAGTATCAAATATGCTCATTTTGCATGATTCGTCTTCAAAAAATGAAGTAGCTGCTGATCAGTGATGAGCCCCAAATTCTAGTTTTATGGGAAGTGGCTTTTATCAAAGCATTTACTTTGTCTTAATCTCCACGTATAACCACAGCTTGTTGAGACCAGCTGTGGACTTGCAATATTGCTATGTGCAATACATACATCTGGGTAGAAACGGTAAAGAAAAATCAAATAAAACTTGTCAGGGCTTGTGCATCTTTCCTGATGTTGCTATGACAAAATGCTACTTTCTTTCACTTTTACATTTCATAACAGGTGCTCAACTGATGCTCCCTCCTTTTGTAAATGAGTCGGTTCCACAGACCCCTTTAGAAACCAATAGAGCTTCTCCCTACCCATGGTACTTCAAAGGACCACCGTACTGCAGTGGCACAGAGTGGAGAAGCCCTGGTCAGGGCAGAAAGCATGGAAAAAAGAAAAAAAAAAAAAAAAAAGCTGGGCAGCACATTCAGCAGTCGCTCTCCCTGCTCACTCCTGCTGCCTCCCTGTGACTGAAGAATAGAGTTACTGCCTAGCACCCTGCCCAGAGATGCAGACTTTGTGGGGGCATCATTGTATCTACCCTTCAAAGCAGTTGTCTCCTTCCTTCCAGCCAGACACTAACAAGTTTTTGTCCCTCATACTCAAACGGTGTTTTGGAGCCTTCAGAGGAAGCTTCCATTCCCCAAGTTTTTATTGGATATCACCTCTCTAGTAGGAGAGTTGAGAAGTCATGGGCTTATGGAAGCAAACAATCAAAATGCTGCTTTTGCATTGTACAACCTATGCGCCAGTGTTTATCTACCAAACAATGACGGCTCCAAATTATCTCTGTTATTACAAACTGCAGAACTTGTTCAGCGCTAACATGATGCTAAACACAAGAGAGGGATGCACAGAATGCCGAGCTTGTCAGCTGCATCACAGTCCAAACCTTTCCTCTACTTCCTTTGCAATCATCTTTGCAATGGCAAGAGAAGAGGTAGCAGCAGGGGAAGGCGCATTCCTGACATGAAGAATTCTGCTTCCAATATCTCCGGTGCCTCCGTCAAAGACAAAGTCATCTACTAGATTTCCCTCACTGTCCAAGGCCTGGGCTCTTACTCCAGATGGACCCCTGAAAAATTGGAAGAATTAAAATTGACAACAAAAAAGAACCGTCAATACTATCTAATACACTAGTGCAAGCTATAATAGAGGATCTGCTTACTATTGGCAACCCCTTTCAGGATACTTAAAAGTGAATGAGCTTTTAGGAATTAGTAACATAATCAACTATAAAACATGCATGTCCATTCTGTATGTCAAGTTTGCATGTTCCCTTTAACGTAAGACAGGGGAACTGTAGAGGCTTGTACTTGCAGCAGCACACAGAAACAAGGAAGTGGAACAGAACCAGTCTACTTCTTTCTAAATCTGAGGGAGAGGTGTGGTTTTAAAACTACAGCTAGAAACCAGACACCCCCGTCTTCTACATCTAAATCCAGACTCTGATACTTTATCTCTCTGCAGTCTGGATGAATCATTCAGCATGGACAATAAAAAACATTCATGCCATAACCAGCCACATGGTTTCCAGCAATGCTCCCTCTAAGGTGTAGCGATCTGTGAGTGCGCTGCTTCAGTCCGTGAGCATGCCGCTTCGGTCCTGCCTCCCCATTTCAGTGCGCCGGGAGGGGGGGAGGAGACACCAACCTATCAACTACAGTTGATAAGTTATCTTACCAACTGTAAGATAAAACAGGATTTTGGTCTCATTTTTTTCACACAGAGTTCTTGAATGTCATACACCCGAGTGTTAAACCTGCAGAAATTAAACAATTGATTCTGCTGCCACTATGCTCACCCAATTATTTAAAAACCTTGAAATATGCACTCTTGGAAATACTACAAAACTGAATTATTTGGGAGAAAAGAGTCTTGAAATACTAAACTACACACACACACACACACACGTGTATTATATATTAAACTATATATAAAAATTAACATTTTTATATTTCAAGGTTTATACACACGTGTGTGTGTGTGTGTGTGTGTGTGTGTGTGTGTGTGTGTGTGTGTGTGTGAGAGAGAGAGAATATATATATATTAAAATGTACTTCATTTTCTCATTCTTCAGTGTCTTGATTACAAATATCTATATAACAGTCTAATATTAAAAAAATCATCAAACACTGAATACAATTATATATCCTTGTAAAGAAAGAAGCTGACTTTTTCCACTTTAAATTACATCTACACAGTAAATTTTCACCATGTGGACTGATGCTGTCAAATAGCTGCACTGACAGGACAGTCTGTTGCCACAAACCCATCTGTATGCAGAACAATATAATGTGAAGCAGCTCACAAGCAGCTGGCACGTGGCCCCTGTGCCTCGATGCAGCCTTTTAAAGCAGCATGGTGCCATGTGCGTCCCCCGCTGGGCTAACCAGGCAGCGAGGAGGCACATGGTGTTGGGGCTTGCAGTGAAGCTCACCCAAAGGGGCTGGGGAGCAGAGCAGTTCCCTGGAGCCGGTGGAGCCCGCGCAGTGCCTGGCTCTGCCCCAGCTCCTATCCCGCCTCGGGGAGAAGTCGCTGCCTGCCCCGTGCCACTCTCCCTCCCCGCGGGGATGCTGGCATGGTGAGGAGTGGAGTGCAGCCAGCAGTAACTTACCACTGACAAGTGTCCCACATTGGCCCTGGTGCCTCTGCCACGCTTCAGGTTTCCAGGAAACCACAGCCCAGCTCCTCTCCGGGCAGGTGCGTGGCATTAAAAGGTTAATGTGTGGCAAGATTTTTTTATTGTGCGTGGCTGCACAGGCATGCAGCTTAGAGGGAACCTGGGTTTCCAGTGTTCACAGTTGCCAATGAGGCTGGCGGATATAGCTCACAAACCACCATCAGGGTTTACACTACATACAGTGGTATAGTGCAAGTAATCTTCAGTAGCAATCATGATTTGCAACATGACGGTCATCCCATGGAATGCCATGATATGCAACCAGAAAATATGTTTTGCAGCTCTGCCTTTATGGAAGCAAAGCTTGATTTATTCTCTGCGACACAGGAACACCATGTTCAATTAGTGCATTTCCTTGCAGCCGCACTTCCTGTAATACTGCTTGCACTTAGTACAGACCCAGCAAGATACTTGTTTGCTGGCTTGGACATTAATGATGACATTGCTCTATCACAAATATAATTACTAGTTATAATTACAGTGCTACAGCTCTGAGGGAGAAGGGGGGAGGAGAGGGGTCACTTACTCTAGATAAAAGCATCCACAGAGGCAACTAGACAGTGTAACTAAAGCAGGATAAACTATACGGTAAAAAGTTATGCTAGTACGTTTTCCCACGTGGGCTTGGGCAGGGTCTCACAGGCTGAGCTGGGAACTGAAGCAGTTCTCCCAAGTCGCTGGCTAGTATCCTAACTACTGGACCATCCATGCCCTGTACGCCGCACAGACGCCTATGTGGAAAGTCGACTGTAAATTTGCATAAGGCTAGTTTGTACATGGGCTTCTAGAAGCATTAATATTTTTATGATGACGATCTGATGGAAAGGGACAAAAGCTGCAGGAATGGCAAATTAAAATTTAAAAATATATAATAGGGACATATGAGTATTGGTGGTTCAAAAAACTCGCGCCCAGAAGTGATGACATTCGTGCAGTAAATACAGTTGAAAACTTCTCAAGCGTAGTACATGGAGGACATGTAGACAGAGATGTGGTTTTATATGGCTGAAATATATTAGACCAGTAAAACAGGGGTTTTGGACTGGTCAGAATAAACTCAAAAACCCTCGTGGCAAAAAGTAGCTATAGCAGCTTATGGACTGCAAACCAGTCTAAGAATTGATTTTTGCTTACCCTTCCCATACAGACACAAATGCATTTGTTCTCTCTGGTATTCGGCCTCGTTACTGGAAAGCCAGAATGTCACTGCTTTCTTTGTGTCAGGCAAGAAGCAATCATGCTGCTTTACCAAAAACAAGTAGCCAGAAGCCCCAAAGAGGAAATTCCCTCCCTCCCTCCCATCTTTCATGCCATAGAACAGGACTTTCCAACCTATAATTCCCCAGGGGGCCACACACCTTGGGGGGGTGCACCAGCAGGGGCCATGCACGACAGGGGCTGAAGCAGTAGAGCCACGGGCATTGGCAACGTGCTGGGGAGGCATGGCAGAGCATTTGTCCCCCTAGATTCCTGCACCGATGGCAGCAGCCTGGCTTGCAGCAGAACCCAGCAGCACTGGGGGAGGCAGTGGTATGGAAGTGTGCCCCCCCCCCCCCCCCCACATAAAAACTTATGAGCTGGTTTTGGCCACAAGGCCACTGGCCCATGCACACAAACCCCAACCCCTGACTGTACCAGGCACCTCACTCCCTGCTGCATAACATGGGCATGTGAACACAATCCATGCCACGCCCCCCCTAGCAGCAATGTGCAGACATGCAAGCGTGATTCCCCAAATGCAACATGCACCCTCACAGACACTCCCCCCACAACCGCACAGAGCACTCCCTGGCTGCTGCATTGTGCAGACACAATCCCCCGCCCTAGCAGAGCCCTGTTTCCCCACCCCACATACGTGCTCCCCCTACCATGTGCCCCCAGACTCACCCTCAGTTCCCCATGCCACTCATGGCACTGCCCCACCCTGTGGGGCAGAGGCAGGAAACAGCAGCCAGAGGAGGAAGAGGGAGTCCAGAGACTGCAACTGCTGTTGCAGCCAGAGCTACGGGGGAGAGGGGGGAGTGGTGGCTGGACAGGAGTGTAGGGGCCACACATTAACCCCCTGCAACTACATGCAGCCCACAGGCCACCAGTTGGACAGCTCTTGCTAGAGTCCTAAGCCCATGTATTTTCCAGCCCATATCTTGCTTCTCCTTCAAACTCAATGCTATTGCTAATTCTTTCCCAGTAGGGAGGGTAAGATGTTTCCTGGGGTGTTGCCCAGTTTAGTTTTAGATTTCCCAAGATGCAGAGCTACTTCTCTTATTTCACAACCCAACAGAGCTCACTATTAGGAAACTTATCCCTCCATTTGCATTTAAATCTGCCCTTCTCACCTTCATCTCTTTACTCTCACTCATCTAGGACGCAGAGGTCCTACCAGATTTCCAGGAATCAGGGCATAATGCTCTGTACTTACCTTGTTAGGATGCTGAGGAGAAAGTATGGAGGGAAAACCATGAACCTGAGGCCAAGCCAGGTCTTTGGGAAGGCAGAAAACTCTGTGCCTCTTTGCCAGGAAAAGAAGGAGAGATGCTTCCACCCCCACCTATGTAACTAGGCAGAGGACTGCCTGTTCGGTTTCGTGTTATGTTACACTATGCTGCTTGTTTTTCCTCTTTCTGCAAGAGAAGCTATAGTCTTGAAAAGGAAACCTCAGGCCCAAATACCCTGTTGGACAGAGTAGCGGCTTCCTACTCTAGCCCTTTACGCTGCTACTTTATTACTTGTTATTATGCCAGACTCCTTTCCACTTCATTCTACACTCCTTCATATTTGGAGCCTACGTCCCTGTCTCCTAGCCCTTAGCCAGGTTGTGAAGGATACGCTAGCCATTCTCTAAGCTGACTCCCATTTTATGGTTTTCTGCCCTCTGCATTGATTTGCTCCTCACTAATATTAACAGCAACTCCTAGTCGAGCTCCCTCCAATGACTTTCAGATTACAAGTTTGGCTATGAGAATGTTAAAGTGCACTCAACAATTCTTTCTGATGGGTAAGCCGTGCCTAAATGTATGTAGGAGAAAGGAGAAAGATGCTGGGCTTAGGTATTCATTAAATCTATCTGTGCACCAGTGCACACAAGCCCCTCCTTCAAGAAAGGCTACTAACGTGTGTCTATTCTTTGGAAATGTTCCATTTCAATGAGGGAAGGGTGTAAACTAAGGTTGGACATTGGCCTTCGCAATAAAGTTTAAGAAACAGTTAGTTATTACTGATAAGTGTTTGTACCTGAGTATATCATTAATGGTAACTTCAGGGATGAACTTCTGTAGTTGCTTCACCTGTGCACTAAGGAAACATGCTCTATACATTTCATTCATTCCAGAAGAAAGGTTTCTGCTCACCAGTTTCCATAAGCCACTATAGAGACAGAAAGGACACTTGTAGTAAATCGAATAAAACTGTGTGTACTATGTATAGAACGGTACCTCTATTAACATGTGGGACCCACTTATTACAATCTACATGTGGTATAAAACGTGCATGGGGCAAAGCAGTCTCCCACTGCATCACCTAGTGACCACACAGAGCTTTCTTCTGGCCAGAGGAGTCACCACCTATTCTCAAGGACTTCTCCTTCACTCTGAAAAGAACATTGCATTCTGAGATGGGGAGGTGCCTCCCTGCTGCCTGCAGTGCTCATGAGAGAATGGAAGTCCCACAGCAAAACCTCTTTTGTCACTGGATCTTTAAAAAGGCAGGAAAATTAGGTATGTTTGACCCTTTGGATGACATCCCACAGGCACAACAGGCTTCTTCCACTAAATATACAGGAGAACTAAAAGCTCTAATAAACCCTTTTGCTTACCATTTATTTCAATGGAAGCATTGTTTGGATGGGCCGAATGGAGATGCTCAGCACTCACCATGTCACCCCATCAGAGGATCACATCCGGCAGTCCTCTGGTACAGAGGGACAGAAATGGGGAGCTTCTAACAGAGAATGACTGAACACCTTCATTCATACTTTCATAGATTTAAAGGCCAGTAGAAACTAGTAGGTCATCTAGATTCACTCTTTACACAAGGGTTTGTAGCCTGGGTTATGCAGATACCTTAAAATCAAGCCCAGGATTAGAGCAAAGTATTTCAGCCCTGTCTAAAGTGTGGGCAAGAGGCAGAAAACAGGAGAGACCGAAGTGCCACCCATCCTCAAGCCCCATGAAATTGCAGGGAATGGATCAGGTGAGATATGCTAATCCTATTGTTAGAAAAGGGGGGACTCTGTCCTCCTCCCCACCTTCACACACATGCAAAGGGAAAGAATGATGAAAAAAATATTTAAATATATTTTTTCCAAAGATAAACAATTTCTTCCTAGAGGCTCTGAGTGATGGGAAGCCTCCCCTAGTCTGTCCCTTTGCTCATGCAGCTTAGAAATTGTATCTTACAAAACTGACTCCAACTTCCAGCCACTGAATCTTACTGTGCCTTTTGGAACAGGGATGAAATTGCCCCTACTCCAGGGGTGGGCAATTATTTTGGGCAGAGGGCTACTTACCGAGTTTTGGCAAGTTGTCGAGGGCCACGTGGGTAGCCCTGCCCCTTGGTAGATACCCTGACCATGGTCACCATCTCGTGACCGGAAGTCCTGCCCCCCCAACCTCTGACCTTTGCCACCAGAAGTCCCTCCCCTTGCCCCAGCAAGTACTCCTTTCAGCAAGGGGTTGTGTCATCTCGGAACCAGAAAAATATCAAATTATAGTCTAAAAAGTGAACATCTACAACATTAATTAATTTGATTTCAAAAAATATTTTTGTCCTGGTTTACATGCATTTGTGTAGTGCCCATAGAGGTTAGTGTATATAGTAGCTTAAAATGAAGTCTTACTCTTGTATATTGTGGGGGGTGGATATAGGTTTGTGGGGGGCTGTGTGTGTGTGTGTGTGTGTGTGGCGGGGTGGATGTGTGGGGTGTGGGTGTCTGTGTATGGTAGTGCAAGGGAGATGTGGGTGCATGTGTATGGTGGGGTGCGCGTGTGGGACTTGCCCTATGAGTGTGCATGCACACACACACGCACACACACTCCCTCCCATTTCTGGCCCTGGTACCTGGAGTAGCAGTCAGGAAAGTGGGGAAATGGCAGCTACAGGCCAAGGGAAGAGGCAGCAGGTGGGCATGCAGTGACAGCCAGGTAGGAGCTCAGGGCCTGTGTCGGTGTCCCAGGGCCAGCAGCGGCGGGGCCCAGAGCGGGGCAGCAGGAGCGTGGGACCCCTGCTCTCCCCTCCAGCACAGCTGGTGCCAGAACTAGTGCTCCTGCCACACTGCCCTGGGTCCTATGTGGGCCTGCCCTTCTCGTGGGACACTAGCATAGGCCCCACGCTCCCACCCAGCTCCCACTTCCCCACACCTGCAGTTGCCATTTCCCCACTTTCCTGCCAGCTGTTGGCCATTCCAGCACCACATGGCTCCTGACTGCATGGCTGGACTGCAGGACTGGGGATGAGCTGGGAATGATACAAACTGCTTCATCAAGCATTAAAGTTGAAGAGGTTTTGCTACATTTGTATTGTACCCAGTTTATCGCAGGTAACAATCTGGATGCAACAGCTTCTGTTCTTTTGAAATGGCTCCAAATGGACGTGGTGGTCCATACCCAATAATAAAAGCTTTTTAAATCAAAATGTCAGGTGGCACTAAAAAATACGTTGGAGAAATCCCAAGTATACAGGATCACAGGTCCATTTACCAGGCTCACAACATATAAAAGACTACTATAAACGACAATGGGGTATTTTTAGATTACCTAGCTTTCATGCTGACCGCAATTCCATTATTCAATGATTGTTTTTGATGATTAATTACATGCAGAAACAAAGTCTCATGTGAAGTTATTACCTGTAAAGAACTGCATCTCCAAAATCTTTTGGGCTGAAGTCAAACAGTTTGTAGCCTTCTCGCTTGAAGGCCAGCACTGCATTAGGACCAAGCCATACGCTGCCATCCATCCTCGGTGTAAAATGGACTCCCAGAAAAGGAAACCGAGGATCAGGAACCTGCAGCAGGAAACAATCATTGGAACAATCCGCTCCAAAACAAAATCTGAGAAACAACGTGACTGGGCAACCCCAGAAAAACTGCCAGGAAGATGGAAGACATCTTCACCCTCTAGGATATAACGGACAGACATTTACAACATGCTGTGGATGAACAAAGTTAGTAAACTGAACACAGGAAAGGAATAAAAATACCAGTCATTCCCAATCAGGGCTGAGCAAAATATAGCCTGTGGGCCATATCCAGCCTACCAAGGGATTTTTTCTGGCCCATAGCAGGTCCCTTGGTTCCACCCAGCCCAGATGCAGGGGAAGCTCAGGTTGTTGTGTGTGCAGCCAGTCCTGCTGCCCCTAAGCATGCAGTGGGGCTGGGGCAGCATCGTGGTCGGACTCACTTCCTGGCAGCCCACCGGTGGTGGCTCCTTCCGGCTGCTGCTGCCACCAGACCCAGGCCCGCTCTCCAAGCAACCCAGCGAATCTGCTGGGGTGCCTGGGAAAAAAAAAAAGGAGAAAGCCCAAACCACCTAATCTTTTATTTAAGCCACATCAAATACAGCTGAATGATAAATGCTCCTCTCAGACTGCCTATGTAAACTGAGAAAAGAACCTCTCTGAAGGTCACATGGTTGTTATGTCAAATATTTGACACTTCAAAGAAAAATGCTCATATGAATTTAATTTTCCTCTTATAATGCAGACAGTGAATTGGTACTCAGTGTAGTAGTTTTATGCAAAGAATCCACAAAGCCAATATTTGTCTGGCTGAAAGGCAATTTAAATATCTATATTCACACTCTTTACATCAATATTAAAGGCTGACTGCTATGATTCTAATTTAAAGTATGATACTTAATTATTTAAAAAAAAAACTACTCCAAGCCCCACAGTTCCATCAGCCTCAGAACACATAGTGAAACAGGTGCAATAAGCTGCGTACTGGATAAATGTTTCCTTTCACCATATAGCATTTTTCTGGCTTCAGCACCAAGTAGTCTCCCCGGAAGGGAACAATGCGAGGTTCTGGGCTGCATCCACTGATCTGAGACAGGCGATCCGAGTACAGTCCTGCGCAGGTAACAATGTGTTGACAGTAGACTTCCTCTCCCTGCCAAAAAACAGAACCCACAACTACAGATTCAACACATGAAGAAGATGGAAAAGAAAGATTAACTGTAAGCCATAAAAATAGAGCCAAGCCACCATCAGCAATCATGCCTTAAAAGATCAAGTGCAGTGTATGCATGAAGCAGTTAACAGTTTTTGCAGTTATCTCCCTTGTTCCCCACTCCTGGAAGAGAGGATGGTACCACTGTAGCTCATTTCCACAACAAAAGAATACATTAAACAGAATAAAAAACTATAAACAACTTTAAAGAACACAAAAAGCAATCAATATATCTTCAACTATGTGTTGGGATACCTTCTCCAAGCACCCTGTGTTATATACAAGCATATTTATTTGATAGGGGAAAAGACCAACCACACTTTGGCCAGACATGCAAATAATTCTAGCAAATTGCATATTTTCCCGTGACACTTTCCCATCTCAGGATGAACTGTCAGAAATGCTGCTGCCATTCTAGCCTCTAACTCTCTGCAAAGTTTTTGTTGGCAGAAGCTGCAACTGGGGAGGTTATCAAAGGAATAACTATGGCTTTTGATTAAATAAGCCGTATGTTATTATATTTAGGGTCTCTACATTCTACTGAACGAATTTCACACCATGAACCACAAAGTAAATTAAAAAGCTACACAAATTGATAACATGGATATTGCAAGTTCTATTTAATTGTTGATTCAACACAAGAGAAAAATAATTTGTCATTACTTTGCTTTCAAAGATTGAGTTGTCTTGTTTTTCATCACACAAAATTCACCCTCTAAATCTGCAATTTTTTTTATTTATAGTTTCATAGTTGGTCGGGTCAGAAGGGACCCGAGCAGATCATCGAGCCTGACCCCCTGCCATGGCAGGAAAGAGTACTGGGGTCAAACGACCCCAGCAAGGTGTTCATCCAACCGCCTCTTAAAGACCCCCAGGGTAGGAGCCTGCACCACTTCTCTTGGAAGGTGGTTCCAGATCCTAGCCACTCTGACAGTGACGTAGCGCCTCCTGATGTCTAGTCTGAATTTACCCTCTGCCAGCTTGTGACCATTATTCCTAGTCACTCCTGGCAGTGCTCGGGGGAACAGGGACTCCCCCAATGCCTGCTGGTCCCCTCTGACTAGTTTGTAACAAGCCACCAGATCCCCCTCAGCCTTCTCTTGTGGAGGCCAAATAGGTTCAGGTCCTGTAGCCTCTCCTCACAGGGTCTGCACTGCTGCCCCCTGACCATGCAAGTGGCTTCCTCTGGACCCTCTCCATGCTGTCCACATCCCTCCTGAAGCGCGGCGCG